ACGCGCGAATTTTGTTCGAGTGTCGTATCGTGAGACGACGGTTCACGCTGAGCGGGCCACTCAATCGTAGGACGTCTCAGCCACGACGGCCCCTGCCACCACAAATGGTGGGACGCGAGATGGCATCCAAGAATGTCGCGAGAAGCGCAGTCGGCCGGATTATCTTCGGTTGGCACGTGTCTCCAGCTAGCGAACGGGACGCGGGATTGTATCTCTGAGACGCGATTAGCAACGAAAGTTTTCCACTTCGAAGGGTGTTGAGTCACCCATGCTAGCACGACGAGAGCGTCCGTCCAGCAGAAGCAAGGTACGGTAGTTAGTTGTAGCGAGGATCGCACGAATTCTAGCAGCCGAGCCAATAGAACGGCAGCAGATAATTCCAACCGAGGAATACTTAAGGATTTGATCGGAGCGACCTTTGACTTGGCGATGAGCAGCCTGGAAGTGGTCTCGCCTGTCACGGAGGTGACGCGAATATAAACTGCGGCCGCGAACGCGGTGGTGGAGGCGTCGCAGAAGCCGTGAAGTTCGCAGTTTGCCGTGTCGGAACCGTATCGTACCCAACGGTCTACGTGAAGACCATTGATCGTCGCCAGGGATGCGTGAGTCGTCTTCCACTGCGCGAGAAGATCGTCCGCGATGGCTTCGTCCCAGTCCACTTTGGCCTGCCAGAGTTGTTGCAGAAAGATCTTTGCGTTTACTGTCACGGGCGTGACCCACCCTAGCGGGTCAAAGATTTTCGCTACCAAGGATAAAATGGATCTTTTGGTCTTTGGAATGGACGGAGGGAGCGAAACGTCGAATTGGAACACGTCGAGGGCAGGCTTCCAGCTTATTCCGAGCACTTTCAGTTGCTCATTGGCTTGCAATGTTTTCGAACACGCTAATCCGTGATTTTCGACGTCAATGTCGGCCAGAAGTTGCGGAGAGTTGCTCGCCCACTTACGTAATTCGAACCGCCCCCGACTCAGTAACGCGCATACTTGATCGCGCGTCTGACGAAGTAGCAGTATATCGTCTGCTCTGAAAAGAAAGTCGTCTATATATCGGCCCTTTCGAATCACCGGAACCGCCAACGGAAATGAGCCTCCCTCGTCCCGAACTAGTTGTTCCAGAACGCGAAGCGCATCATGAGGAGCGTTAAC